GCACGATTTCCCCGGTATATATATATATATATATACACGCTCAACATCCGCAATCTCGACTCGTTCCGCCTCTTTTCACCTCGGTTCGACTCTCGCGTCCTCGATCGTTCTAATCGAACTGGGTCGCCACGAAATGCTACGAGGGAATTTCTCGAATCGGGTTCCCGATCGAGAGGGGAAAACACGCGACGAACGCCAACGACGCGAAGAAAAATTAGCATACCTTCTCTTCCTTGTTTTTCCCCCCCTTCCGTGTCTTTTTATCGCCCCGCGATAGTATTTTTATTTTTATTCCCGACTTTTCGACTGTCGCGTTTCCATTCATACGTATTATAAGGGGTTGTCGAAATAATTTCCAAGCGAATTTTTTCTTTTTATCCTCGGCTGTGAGCCCCTTTTCGATTTATTTCGTAATCGTGGGAATGGATGGAAAAAAAAAGGGAGGCATGAAAAGAGTCGCGATTATGTTTCGTGTACGAAAAAAAGAAAGGAAGAAAAAAAAAAGAAAGGCGGTTCGATGAAGAAATGGATAAGAAGCCGAAAGCCTTCGGGCGCGAACGCAAAGGAAATTATGCACCGCATGTTGTTGTACTTTTGCACGAGATACTTTTTTTAGATGTCGTGCACGTTCTCAACCTGCATGCTCTCGTATTTTTCTACATCTATCTGAAATATGCATGCGCGTCGATTAATACCACGACTCTCTGTTACTCTCTGTTACTCGACTCACTTACTCGACTCCTCTCTACTCCCCCTTTTCTCTCGCATACTTTTCGAAGAAATCAATTTTTCTTTAGGTGAATTTATTAAAGGAAAAGAGAGAAAGAAAAAAGAAAGGTATCAACGATTGTCGCGATAATCTACGAATTATTCCAGCGAATAATTAATGGACGAAAACGTCCTCGATATTTTTCTTTCACCTTTTCTTCGCATTTATAACATTTATAACATCGATGACCTTTTTTACACCTCGAAAAGGTACGTGTTGTAATACCTGCCCTTTCCCGACATCTCCCTTTTTAACCCTCCTCCCTATTTCCGATTCCAAAGGGTAAAGGGGACTTTTCAACCGGCAAAAAATCTGCCATTTAAACTTACCAACACGCGGAGGACGAGCCAATGTTGGACGAACAGTTGGAATCTGGTTTTCCAACAACTTGGAACCGACCGAGAGCAGGATTCCTCAGACGCTTGCTAATATTTTCTTTTCGCGTGGTCGCGTGACACGGCGGCGTGGCAAAGATTCGAGTGGCTGGGATGAGGAAAAATCCAAGAGTCGAGGGGATTAAACGAACCAAGATGTAATCGGAATCGACGGTCGGGATTCCTTTTTCCAGGAAACTCCGACTCGAAACGACAAACGGCTAAGCAAACGCGAGCACCCGCTTTGAGCTCCAGCTACGTAGGAGGAGATTCTTCTTTTTTCCAGTCACTGTCGACTTCGATCGACCTTTGCTACCACGAAGGGAGTTCGGATAATGGTCCCCTCGACGGAGACCTTGTCGCTGGAATAATTTGCAGGTTACCGAGTTAATCCATTTGCTAAGCTTCACAGCTTTTCGTGTTTAATAAACGTCTATTCCAAAATTGATCACAACAAAAGTTATTTTTCAATAATTAACTCTCAGAAGAAGGATTCCCTTTCCGCGTGAGATATGTAATCATAAATATTGTTTCGCTTTTCAATTCGATCGTTAATTTCTCGATCAAGGCAAACTTCGAAGAACGG